TTAACGCAAGTATCTGCAATTTCCCTACCTGCTGCTGAGATTCGATGGCCCAGAAATGTCACAGTGGTTTGCACAAACTGTAGTTTAGACAATGAAGCTTTGTGTCCCTACTCAGCCAAGTGTTGGAGCAGACGGACAGTATTTTCTCTACAAGACTGTTCTGAGGGCGTTGCCAACAGAAGGCCATCCACATATTGTAACAAAGCACAATCAGAAGGAAGTGTAAAACCTGCTAATCTGTCATTCAGCGCTTGATGAAATATAGTGGGTGACTCACAGTAAATTGAAAAGCAAACCAAAATTGGCTGTCTGGATGTACGGGCATGCTAAAAAGAGGGATGGACAATGAATAATAATAATAATTACTCCGGCTTTAAGCAAAGAGTGAAAAACAGGAGTAATGTCTTTTTCTGCATCGGGTTTTTAGGGGGTACTGAGGGATTTTGGGTTGATATGAGGATTTAGGTGTAATATTTGAATGGGTTCTTGGCCTTTTATGAGTCCTACATCATATTTAGTCTGTGCCCATAGACATGTTGGGACTGCTGCCAATTCTGGGTTGTCCTGAGACAAGGTGGACATTGTTAGTCATTTGTTATTGTCAATCACTTCTTTTGTGGGGCGTACAGTCAGCAGATGACAAAAATCTTGTCTGTACATGTTGAGAGAGGGTGAATAGAAAAAGCTGTCATGGGGTTCCCAGTCTGAAGTCTGGTGGGCTTTTAATGCTAGGGAACCCAAAAAAACGCCACTGCTGGTCAGGTGGTTTTGCCAGAGAAACGTGAGGGAAAGAGTCAGTCACTGTGAAATAGGGTGTTTGGGGTGTCACCTTGTCAGAGTCAGAGAGTCAGAGTTTCTTTATTGTCATTCGCACCTCATGTGGTACATGTGGTGGAGCGAATTTATGTACACAGGGTCCCAGTTACATCCAACAATAAAATGTATAAGAAAAACAGTAATAACATCTAAGATATGAACTAAGAAAAACATCAACTAAATATACACTAAGCACTCATAACATAAAACATTGAACATCAGCACAAACATGAACATGAGTCTGTGAGCAGATGTGCACGCATGAACACATCAACATTGAAACAGATCAGCAGCAACATGA